GGATTCTTCCAGAGGTCCTGAGTTCAATTCCAAGCAACCACACGGTAGATCACAACCATCTATAATAGGATCTGATTCCCTCTTCTGTCATGCAGGCATACATGTATAAATAAATCAATCTTTTAAAATAGTAAAGAAAGAAAGGAATAAAAAAAAAAATAAAGCCCTCTGAAGGTGAGGTCAGAATAAACAGCACATTCCCTTGCTCCCTGTGGCGCTGTGGTCTTTGCTGTCCCCTCTTCACCTGGGAGATGGGCTTAGGCCAAGCATGGAAGAGCTCTGGGCTTCACTGACGGAAAATAGTTGGCTCTCATCCACTATGGGAGAGCAGCAAGTTTTACAGCCCACTTTTCTCTTCCCTTTCAACAACTCATTTCATCCATGTAGACACGTTCTCCCAGGGAACACACCAAATCATAGAATCATTACTCCATGCCAAATGAGGAAAAGCAAGTGATGATTCCACCTCTGAGTTTAGTCCAAGCCAGACTTCATGGGGCCCTGGTGACAGAGGGGACCTTGGTGAATTGTTAGTAGCCTCTGAAGAGTCATAGCAGGAGGGGAGAAGGGGGGAAATCAAATTGCCAGTGAGGAATGCTATACTTAGGCAACAGTGGGCAGTGTGTATGTTTGGGACAGTGGGAGGAGAACAAACACAGAGGTCCTTGGGATACCATGGGAGTGTGTTTTCCTTGTTTTGGGTCCAGGTCTCCCTATGTAGCCCAGGCTGACTTTGAGCTGGCAAGCCAGCTACCTCAACTTCACACATGCTGGAAGTACAGGCAAGCGCCTGCCCTGCTTTTAGAGTTCTTTTAAAAGGTACGAATAGTCGTTAAGATGCTGTCTAGTGCTCAGGGTGAGGACTCTACTCCAAAGGCCCCAGGAAGATTCTGCCTTCTAGACAGAGTCTGGTGCCAGGCCAGGAATGGCTTTGAATCCTTTCATTGACACTAAAGCCCCTGGAGGAGAGGCTGGAAATCCCCATTTTTTTAATTAAAAATGTCTCCGAATAAAAGGCAAGATACAGCGACTTCTGAAAGTTCCCACAGGCTGCCGAGGATCTGCCAGGGATCCAACCGTGTCATTTTCCTTGGGGTGTCCCCAATTACAACAGCTCACCTACCTGATGGAAACTCATTCTTTTTGGATTTCAAACGCCTCTGTCCCTCCTCCCCCCAGCTTGGCCTTCGCACTCTTAATAAAACATGAAAACCCCCGGCCCCATGTCATCCTGGGGCTCCCCTACAGCCTGTCTGCGTTTCTCATCTCCATGCTGCTGTTGCTGCTGCTGCTGCTGCTGCTGCTGCTGCTGCTGAGCCATCCATTTGCGTGGGGAGGAGCCAGCACAGAGAGCCCTTGTCCCTGGGAGGTGGCTGTGATGTGAGGGTGTTCAAAGTCACAGAGCTGGGGTCTCCCCTTGCTGCTCGAAGCCACTGCACTGCCTTTCACGCTTGTGAGATCAGAGGGTATTCTCAGAATCCTGTGCCTGGCATCGGAAAAGAGGTCCTGTAAGGAGAGCTCAAAGCTCATTCTCTTTGGAGACCATTAGTGAGGCAAGGCTGACACTCCGAGGGGAGGGACAATGAACATATTAGCAGCCCTGGCTTCTCCATTGTGGCACTGGGCTGTACAGGCGATAGTACCTAACACATATCCTGTCTTCTGGGACTCTCAGAGGAATCCTGAGTTTGAACCCCTAGCTCCTTGTCAATACTGGGGTGCAGTGGTGTGTGTTCTAATTCCATTGCTAGAGAGACAGAGACAGAAGGATTGCTGGAGCTTGCTGGCCAGTCTACCCAGCTGGTGAGCTCCTGGTTTAGAGAAAGGCGGTCCCAAAAGATAAGATCCGGGACCTTACGCTGGTTTCCTGACCTCTCTGAACCTTGAATTTCCTTGCCAGAGGGCTGGACATATAGACACCTGATGTTTCTTGGATCTCCCTACCCCACCCCATCTATTGAAGGATCACTTCGTGAACTAGTGGTCCAGAGAGGCTCTCACACCTGCCTGGCCTGTGTCCCCTGCTGTCATCTCCATTCTTTTACTATGTCCTGTGCTGTCTCGACTAGACCCTCTGCTTGGTAATGGGTATATGAGGGGCATGAGTCAGGCCCTCTGGGGTTTTCTATCCCCCACTCATAATTCTGCCTCGGCCCTCTGCATGACCCAGCAGCTTCACTGTGCTCTTGCAGTCATTTGTGCTGGGTCTCCCAAGCCCAGTGGGGGCCCCTGCTTCAGGACACCTCCCCACTAGCTGGAACTCATGAGACGTGAGCTGCCAATTCCTCTACGAGGCTGCACATCTTCCTGCATGACCTGTGAGGGAGCATTGTCAGGTGGTGGGAGAGCCCAGAGTGTGTGCTTGATATTGTGCGTGACCTTGATATTCACCTTCTCTGGGCAGCTTCTGACTGTGTCACTTCTCAGCTCCATTCACCATACTGTGGTCCTGGAGCGAAGCCTGCAGTCTCCAAATTAAGAAATTAAGATTAGCAGTTCCCTTCTGAGGTCTGTACAGAGCTGAAGGGTCCAAATATAAGCAGTGTGTGTGTGCTCTCGCGTGCGTGCTCATGCGTCTGTAAGTGTGCATAGGTTTAAGCTTTCTAACATTTAAGCCTTGATGTTTTTCTTTAAATCAACTATCTTGTCTGGCTTGAGATAGCATTCATCTGCAAAAGAAAGACAGATGGGGTAGGGGGAAGAGAGTGAGCAGGGAAACAGGCATGTTAGAGGTCCCAGGCTGTTTGTTCTCACTGTGGACCATGGCAAAGAGGCGAGTGCTATAGCATACTTGCCCTTGCCCTAGCCACATGTTAAAAAGTCTCTTGATATTAGTAAACAAGATCCTGTCACTGTGGGGCTGGAGCCACAGTGAAACAGGTTCACAGCTGAACAAGAAAGGCCTTATCCATGTCCTTGGCCTTGGCTTTCCTCTGGATTGACTTTCAAAGCCTCCACAATTAACCACCACGACAGCCCAGGGTAGCAGATGAACCTGGGTCGGGCCAGCTGGCACACCAGTGTATGATACACACAGACACACTCTTCAGTGTCACCTTCTGGGGATGAGGGCAGCAATAGTCAACATAGAGGTTTTGTTTCCATGATTCTGCATTCTGTCTTTTATGCTGATGGCCCTGCTACCTGGCACTTTGATTTCTTGCTCCTAGACTACCCACTCCATCTGTACTTCCTGCACAAAGATCCGTGACCCGTGAAACTTCCACAACCCTTCTGGGTCCTTCATTAGCCTGGTCTTGCTGGAGGGAGACCCTCCTTCCAGACACTTGTTTCAGAGTTTCTGCTTCAGGACTGGAATTGTTCAGAAAGTGCTTCTGAGCCATTGAGGTCAGAGTTGGGCAGGCAGGCCCTGGGGACAGCGGAGTAGGTCTACATATTCCCCTCAACACCTCAGAGCTGAACTGTGCCCTTGGGTCCTTCCAGCTAAAACTTTGGCTTAGTCAAGTCCTAATACAGTGAGTGGATCCAGGCCCTATAGCTACCTTAGTGAGGACCACGGGGGATACCAGGAGCTTTGAGGTGGCCAAGCTTCTGACCTTGTTGCTGGTGACCCCATTTAGTTCCACTTTCACCATCTGGCTCTGAAACTCACCCCATGGCCCCAGAGCTGCAGGAGAGTGGCCTACTCAGACTGGGGCCCAGAGTTGGTCAGGAGCTGCCTCTCCTCTGCGGGCTCTTGGAGGGAGCTCACAGGGTTCCTGGGTGCACGTGAACTCAGCATCCCATGTCCATGGGGCCTTGTGGGCAAGGGTCATCTCCAGGAGGATTTTATGCTGTCAGCCTCACAACTTGCCTGTCTCCAAGTTCAAGGCTGATGTCCAACCAGCCTTGCGTACCCAGAATCTGTCCGGAATGGAGAACATTTCCCTCACCAATGCACAGTGACTAGCAGCAAACTAAAGAACGTCTTTTATTTTTTAATAAAATAGTGGAGCATGAAAAAATATCATATGTTACAGATATACAGAGGCAGGCATCGCCCTCCCTGGCTGGAGACAAAGTTTGTCTTCCCAAGTGCTTCTAGACCACTCATGGAAACCATTTGTTTAACAATTGAGAGAGTCAATAAGCCCTCGGGTGCTCTCCACTGATTCCCCTCCCCCTCATCTCCACAAATCAGTTCCAATGTGCAGAACACACCAGCTCGGTTTCCATTAAAAAAGCCGCAAAATGTATCCGGCTGATACATTTTTTTTTGTTTGTTTGTTTTTCCTGAGGCCTGGGCCTCTTAATTCTTTTGTTAGATGATTTCTTTTGTTGTCTTTTATTTACAACAAAACACTTCTTTCTCATTTATTTCATGGGGAGAGGGGAAAATGTAAAAAAAATAAAAAATAAAAAAAAAAGTATTGCACACCATTTGAATTCTCCAGTGTTAGATCTGCGGGGGTGAGGAATAGTGTGGGTTCTATGTGGGAAGAGAGACTGCTATGAAGGCTGGTGGCGGGACTCTCTTTAAGGACCCTGCAGGCAGGCCTTGGAGTAGATAAGATTGCTCAAGATCCCCTTTTACATCCCCTTGCCTCTCACCCCACCTCTATACAGCAGCCTTGCTGGGAGGGGGAAGAGCAGGCCCTTGGGTGGCTCATTTGCTGGCTCAAGGGGAGCTATTTAGCTTGCAAAGTAGCTCTCTGGCCTCAAGTTTTTAAGCAGGCAGCAGAGTCTTCTGAATACACAGATGTGTGTTTGAGGCCTAAACAAAAGTTTTCTTGAGGATGGTTTGATCAATGACTTTACCACAAATTAGTTACAGGAGAGGCTCCTTCGTTAATGAGTGACCCTTCAGGGAGGCAGCAAACACAACAGAACCCTTTACTTTCAGCCTATCCCGTCATTCTGAACTTCAAGGTAGACCTTATGTACACACATACATATGTATTTATGCACATGTATATGTATACTTTTTACTTTGATTTAAAAAACAACCAGCCAACCAAGAAAAGCAGCCCATTTGGGCTCCGTCTGTCCATCCAGTTTTTCCAGCCTCCTTCACACGCAGGCTGAAGGCTGGGCGGGAAGCTCATACTTCCCAAGGTGAGATTTTTGGGGCTGCTGGGCTTTTTTGTAGATCCCTGCACTGGTGACCACACTGGCTGGTTTCCTCCGGCTCTTTCTCTTCAGCCCCCGGCTGCACACGTGCTGCCAGGACTGCAGGGTCTTGGAAGTCCAGACCCACACCCCACTGGTGATGCCCACCACCAGAAGCATGGACACTTTGACCATGAAGACCTCCACGGCAGGGATGGAGGTGGTCATCAGGCAGTCGGGCGTCTTGGTCTGATTGTTCATCTTACACTTGTGCTGGGTGGCCAGCAGCTTCCAGTAGTCCATGTTCAGGCGTTCGTAAAAGTAGCAGGCAATCACACAGGTGGCCGGCACGGTGTAGAGGAGGGAGAAGACCCCTATGCGTACCATGAGTTTCTCCAGCTTGTCCGTGTTCTCCCCACCCGTTTTCATCACCCTCCGGATGTGGAATAAAGCCACAAAGCCCGACAGGATGAAGGAAGTGCCGATGACCAGGTAGCAAGCCAGCGGGACCAGCACGAAGCCAGTCAGGGCGTTCACGTCCATGCTGCCCACATAACACACACCCGTGAGCTCATCCCCTGCCACCCTGCGCATCACCAGGATCAAGATGGTCTTCACAGCCGGGATGGCCCAGGCTGCCAGGTGAAAGTAGCTGCTGTTGGCTTCAATGGCCTCATGGCCCCACTTCTTGCCAGCAGCCAGGAACCAAGTGAGGGTGAGGACCACCCACCATAAAGAGCTGGCCATGCCGAAGTAGTAAAGTACCAAGAAGACTAAGGTACAGCCGGTGCTCTCCAGCCCCTCCTGAATAACATACAGCTGCCCACTGTCCCTGTCGCACGCGATGCTCTCCGCGCCAGCGAAGAGGCGGATGATATAGCCCACCGAATAAACGCAGTAGCACATGGAGAGGAAGATGATGGGACGTTCGGGGTACCTGAAGCGCGACGGGTCGATGAGGAAGGTGAGCACGGTGAAGGCGCTGGAGAAGAAGCACAGCACGGACCAGATGGCCAGCCAGACCACAGCGAAGCGCTTGTCTTCGCGGCTCCAGTACACGTCCACCCCCGGAGTGCAGAGAGGTGCGCAAGACTCGCTCTTCTCCACGTGGTGGAACTTGCCCGGGTTGTCACAGCCTGCGCGTCCCTGACCCCCGTCCTTTAGCGGGTGCTCCTGCGCGCTGTGGGGCCTCTGAGGCCTGAACAGCGGAGGGAACATGCCAGAGCCCCGGCTGGGTTCGTCCGTGCCGTTGTTCGGTGCTTCCATGCACAGGTAGTTGGGGTCGTTCTTGTTGGGGAGCTTGCTGCAGTCCAGGGAGTCAGGCCACTTGAATTTGAACTGCTCCATGATCGGCGAGCACTTGAGCCGGGCCTGCTCACACATGACCCGGCAAGCAGGGATGGGTGTGGAGACCTGCTCCGTGCACATGGGCGCGTACAGGGAGCACAGAAAGAAGCGGAGGTGGCCGTGGCAGCCGTACTCCACGAGCGGCGCGAACTCGTGCAGTTGGATGGCCGCCTCACGCTGGTTCTCGTGGCCCATCAGGTTGGGCATACGGGTGGTGTTGTAGCCGATGTCCTTGCACATGGGAATCTCCACCGGCTGGCACTTGCCGTCTCCGGGGCGCTCTAAGTCCATGGAGCTGATGGCCCCGCACGAGCCCATCATCACCTGCAGCACCAGCCACAGACGCGGACCCGGGTGCTGCATGGTGGCGCCCGCGGTGTCCCCGCGCCGCTCAGGGCCGTCGCTCCCGGGCACGGGCTGTTACTGCTGCCCGCAGCTCCGCGCCCCGGCTCCGGCCCCCGCGCATGCCCGTCCAGCCTGGCCCGAGCGCTCGCGGCGCCCGGAGCCCCCGCGGTGGGCGCGCGGCCTCGGCTGAGTCGGGGGCGGCGGGGGAGGGGAGCGAAGTTTGCAAACAATACGGCGGAGCGAGCGCCGCTCTGCGCGCAAACTTTGGCCTCTTCTTCCGGGCGCGCGCGTTTGCGGACCGCGGTGGAGCAGTGCGGGCGCACCGTGGCCCCAGGCCCCGGCGCTCCTCCCTCCTGGCGCCCGCAGCTGTTGTTTCCAGCTCGGCGTCCCGGGATGAGAAGACTTGCAAAGAAGGCAAAGGGGAGGAAAGCGGTGTGTAGGGGGTTTGGGGGGGGGGGGGGGGGGGAAGGCGATTGGTGACAGGCCCCGCCTCCGCTTGCCGCCCCGCCCCGCCCCGGCGCTGCTTTGCATCAGAAAGCCTTGCGCCCCGGGAAGCCTCCGCCCTCAGCTCCAGCTTGGAGCTGGACCCCGACCTCCAGCCTCACCTCCTGCGGGTCTCTCCGCCTGCTCTCCCTGTCCAGGGTTGGGGGGGCCCTCGGGATTGTCCACGGACGCCGAGGTTACGGGAAGTTTGGGGACTAGCGGGGACCCGGGTAAGGGTGATCCTCACCCGGTGCTGTGGGGCTGGGGACGCATCTTCTACTTTTACGATGGGTCCCTGGCGGAGGGCACTTTCAAAGAGACATGGGATTTGCGTTTTATGGCCGTACTCATAAAGTGGCCCCTCGGCTTGTAAAGCTGCCCGCATCTTCCCGAGGCCGGGGGTTTGCTGCCGGGGGCGCGGGGCTTGGGCTCCGGGGAGGGGCTGCCTTTGAAATTTCAAAAGGACCGAGCACAGGAGAGGGGGAGGGGACCTGGGAAGCCGGAGTTTAGGGCCTCTTCTGCAAGGTTTACTCAAAAGAATGAGAGGAGGGGACGGGGAGGAGACTTTCCGGGCGGCTGACACCCCGCACTCCGGGAAGAGGGGCTCCGCTTGAATCGTGATGCCCCTCCAAGACCACCATGTTGGGGGCCATCGCGCCAAGCCCGCTGGTGGTTTCTCCAAGCGGTTGAGTTTATTTACTATAGGAAGTTGGGTATATTTATATTATTTGGCGAAAGATGTGCTCCGCCTGCGCCCTCCTGGGAGGCGGAGGCTGAGCTCCGGCCTACGCACGCACGGCTGGTTCCCACGCAGAGTGGAGGGGCCTCTCTGTGCCTCGCGGGCCTGGCTACCGCCCTTCGTTTGGTTTTAGGTTAGTCTGATAAGGACACAGCTTTCACCTCCTAACCTTCCCCCCCCCCGCCCCCTCGCACAGGGAGTGCACCCTGGGAGCCCACTCAATTCCTGGGTACCACGGTGCGTCACCTGTCGCAGACTCGTAACTTTGGATAAACAGCCCACCGGGCGGTGGCCCACTCTCTTCTTAGACTCCCCCTCCTATCTAAGTCTGCGTTTGAAGTGTTTGGGAAACTACCAGGTAGGACCGCCAGCGTGGACTCCCGCGGCTGCGTCGGGGCAGCTCCCTGCTCATCTTTCTGACAGTACTGAGCACCCCAGGGCCGAGTTAGGTGCTCAGACGCCTGAAAGCCCTCGGTGCCCAGCTGCAACAGCCAAGCTAGGAGTGGGGCTGCCCAGGACCCCTCCTCCCCGCCCAGCCCTGCGCTTCCTTCAGAGGATTGGCCTCTAATTAAAACAAGGCCTCAGCGTCCCATCTGCAGGAAACCCGGGGGGTTCGCCTTCCTTCCCCCTTTCATTTGTCAGGCATAGCCGACAGACCTGAGGCTGGGGCTTGCCCGGGACCTCAGAATCCTTGCAGGCAGGCTCACGCCTCACCTTCGATTCCCCTGGTCTCTTGTCTTTTACGGGAGGAGGTTAGGTCCAGGGAAACAGTGATCCTGATCCGGAAGGCTGTTTACGCAGTCAGAGCCGCCACCCACCACGCTGTTAGTGACCCAAGGAAAACCTGATGTGTGGCTGGAGCTTGCGGCTTGTGTAAGGATAGCTTGATTGGACATTTAAGAATCTAGTAAGCTGTTTTCAAAATCTTTTAAGTTAGGTAAGATTGCTGGGCCATCATTTAGCTTTAAGAGGGCTGGATGCAAGGGGTCTTTCCTGACACTTTTGCCTTCTCTTCTCTTTTGATCCTCCCTCCCCCCGGGGGTGGGGGGGGCGAGAAAGAAGCCAGGGTGAGCTCAGCTCCGGAGCAGGGTGTAAGCTATTTGAGACAGCCCCACGTAATTGGCCTTTTATGCTCTGGTTACTTCTACAGTGTTCAGACCTATTATTTTAGCCATGACCACTTCACGTTCCTTTCTTCTCCCCACTCCCTTTAAATATATTAAGAAAAGAAAAAGCTAACAGAATTTCTTCCATCTGCCCAACCCAGGGAAAAAAAAAGGCAACAAATACACACTAGTATCGTATCTAAAAATAAGGGCCCTGAGATAGCGAGAGGGGAAGACAACTCTAACTAATAAATGAAAGGGCCCTTTTGATGGCTCCAGCTGAAAAGATATTTTATTTTTCTCTCTCCTGTGTGTGGGATTTGAGATGTGTGACTCCGGAGCCGCCGGGTCCCCTGCTGCTCAGCCCTGGCTCGGAAACTGGCCCCCCTCTGGCAAGCGTTATGGAGAGCTGGGAGGAATTTTATGGCTGTCTCTCTCCTCTCAGCTCTTTTTTTTCTTTTGTCTTCTTTGAAGAACGACTTTAGACATTTTATTTACATATTTAACCAGGGATAAAAGAGGGAAGAGAAAGCTTTGGGGGTTGGCCTGGGAATAGGGCTATGTTTAAATTAATGGAAATCTTATTAGACTTCTAAAATTTTGAGCAAGGATTTTTAAATGAAACTTTATAATTAAACATGATTTTAAATATCATCCTAAGACTTTGGGCCCCAGGTCTTCTAATTTATCCATGTAAAATCTCAGAATGCTGTCTTATATTATCTTGAAGTCCTTGAGAATGTCTAGTATAAGGAAGGCACAGGTGTTCTAGAAGGAATACTGTTAAGAGCCAAGGAGTGGCTTGAGCCAAATAATGTTGGAGGTGGTGGGGAGTTGAAAGGAAGGCCCACTTTATTCCCCTTAAACTGGCAAAGTCAGAAGAAGGAAAAAAAAGTGCTCGGACACGGGGCTCATCAGCAATCAAAGCTGTACCCTTCCTTAGTGTGTCTTGGGTGAAGGGAACCATAAACTCTTGAGAGGGTTTTCTGAAATGGGATTAGAGAGAACCCAAATAATCTCTTTAAGATAAAAAAAAAAAAAAAAAGTACTGCTCCTCCTACAAAAAAAGAGAAATTAGGTTGGAAGCTTAGCCTGTTACAGGCTAATTGGAAGAGTAACGAGTGGGATATGGGCAGAGGTTATAAAGAGCCATAAATATCCTGTCTGCCAGCTCGAAGATGAACCAGGGGGTCCGGCTGGCTCCTCAAAGTTTGTCTTGGTAGCTTTGACTTGACAGGCGGTTTTCCAGAACCTTCTTGTTCGGGGATCCAGTTGGAAAACCTCGAGCCCTCTGCATTTCCAAACTGTCCCTTAGGGGAAGGAAAGTGATCTACTTGGTCTCTTTAAAAGGCATACATTGAGAAATTCAGTTTTCCAACCAATTGGGTTTGGCCCCACCACTTCCCTCACAGTTTTTTTTTTTTTTTCTTGGTAGGAAATAATCTTTAAGTCTTCGCAAGTGATATTCTGTTAACACGCACAAACATATATGCACTAAACACGCACACACGCGCGCACACACACACACACACACCCTCTCATATCAGAAAAGTAGTGCAGGTAGCCTCAAACTTAAGAACAGGTTTTAAGAACACTGGTTAGTGGGTGGGGGTGGTGGTGGGGGTGGTGAGGTGCAAAGAGGAAAAAAAACCCTCCGCCCTCGGCGTCATAAAATGCATGAAGGAGTGTCCGGGCCACTGCAGAACAATTTAGGCCGCTATTTTAAGGCCACTTCCCTTGAAATGTGGATTGAAATATTACCAGAGGTTCGCGGGGCGCTTTCGTGTGAATTGCAAATCAAGCACGGCTTTAATCCTCTTTCAAGGCCGGGCCTTGGATCGCTGGCGTCGCCTGGCTCCCCACTGCTTCTGGCGCAGAAGAGACCATTCAAGGGGGCAGCTCCCCTCCTCTGTTCCCACACTCCAAAAAACAACGTCGCAGACAGACACCCTCCAACTAAATTAGATTAAACTCCTACTCCTCCACAGCGCATTAGCCTTTTTACAGCCCAGCTCTGCCGATCGCTCCTCCCTGCTTAAAGACACAGCGCAGCTTTTCTGTCTCAGCCACCTCCACACAAGCGTGTGGAAAATAAATAAATAAATAAATAAATAAATAAATAAATAAATAAATAAATAAATAAATAAATAAATAAATCTTTAAAAAGGTGTAAAGTGCACCCAGCTAAGTGACTTCGTATTGCCAAGAGAGACCTGTTTGAAAAATAGCCAAACCCACTTGTGCCGGCTCCAAAGCTTTTATAGACCCACCCTATGAGTATATGGAGTTCTTAAAAAAAAAAAAAAAGAAAGAAAAAATTTACAGAATTCTCTCACCAAATGAAGCAAGCAAATGTGTGATTCTGTTTTGCATTAATGTCCCAGAGGGCACCGGGAGACAATTTGCTGAAATTAACCCCCGCTTCTACCGTGGTACCTTAGGCTCCTGCGTCTGAGGCCTCTGCTTCCCTTTAGCGACTGGGTCAATGCCTTTGTCCACCACCCTAGTTTCATGTTTTTTCTGCTTTACTCATTGCCTGTCCCCAGGACCGGGGTTTCCCTAGCCTGGAAGCTGGCCCATCCCAGGCTTTTCCTCCCTGCGTGGGTGAGGGGCCCTACAAAGATGTCATAGTAAACGGCCCCTTCTGGACACAACCCCGGGGCAACTTCCAGCTCTGGCTGCCATGACTGGGTCTGAAAACCCTT